GATGGATGGATGGATGGATGGATGGATGGATGGATGGGGTTAACACATACAGTGGGTAAAATAAGTATTGAACACGTCACCATTTTTCTCAGTAAATATATTACTAGAGGTGCTAATGACATGAAATTTTCACCAGATGTTGGTAACAACCCAAGTGATCCATACATACAAAGAAATCAAACCATAAATGTCCAGAAATAAAGTTGTTTGTATTAATTGTGTATGGATCACTTGGGTTGTTACCAACATCTGGTGAAAATTTCATGTCATTAGCACCTCTAGTAATATATTTACTGAGAAAAATGGTGACGTGTTCAATACTTATTTTACCCGCTGTAATTTCTCACTTCCAGCGTTTTTTTTATAAAGATTGAAACAGTTAAGAAAATATAAATAAATATCAGTAATTCATCAATATTCATTGACTTTATTATACTTTTACTTCATCAGACGTAAAAATAAAAGAGGTGTTGTTGTTGTCATTAGTTTTAGAGAAATGAGTGTTTTTCAGACTGCTTACTTCATCCTCGTTGGGCTGCAGGATGTGGTAGAGCCAGAGAATCTCTCCCAGTTTACCCAGTTCCACCTCCACGCTCTGCACAGCGCTGGAGAGCTGCTCCTCCTCTGGTGGGTCCAACTGCTGTAAGAGGTGGAAAATATGTCAAACTATTTGACCTAAATACAAAAATAAAACTATGAAGCAGAGAGACAACTTTGTTTTTTAAAACTTTGTGTTTTTGGACACTTTAACTAGTGAAAAGAATAATTAAGAACTGACCAAAGAGACTCGACCCAACAGAAGGGACTCGGTCTCATTGTGAAGTGCTTTGACCGTGCTTGCCACCTCAATAGCTGTGTTCCTGGTCAGGCTCTGTGGAAGAAACACAACAGTTGTGTAGTATATTTCACAGGAAACAAAAGGCTCAGTAGACGCAGGAACTCTGTGAAACAGTTCTAAAAAGCAGTCATTTCAGCTTCAGTTCACAACAGACTTTAAGGGTTTTACTTGGATAAACATGAACAGTCAGTATGAAGGTACAACTATGTGAAACAACCGAGGACATTCAACAGGCTGCTGAGTCCAAAACACTTTCCACACATACAATTCTGGTGAAAATACCTTTTGATTACCTACTTCCACCAAAAGTTGAATCAAAAATGTATCTTTAAAGTAATGGTGTCAACAAAAATTAACTCAGTAAACTCAGTAAAGAGATGCTCTCTTGAGATTCAGGTAAACTGTAACATGAAGTGAATTATAAAGCAAATTACATAAGTTCATGTTAAAAATAATATCTTCTAGGGATGTAAATATGGGCTGCTGTTTGTAAAGTTACACAGTCAAAAATTAACACCAATATTTTTGTTTTATTTAACCGTTTATAAGAAAAAAATAACAGATTTATTTTT